CTCTTATAATGAAATAAATAAATAAATCACTGAAGCTGAACAAACTTATAAGTTTGCAATCTATTTTTCTCTCAAAAACATTAACTTTAGTGAAGAATATATGACATAGTCTGTTCTTTTTACCACTTTTGCTGCCACAGATTAATACTATCAAATTCACAGCTTATCGGTGTTTCTTACTGATTTTAAAATAGATAAAATAATAGCCTTACGTGCATCAGGTGTCAGAATTTATAATGGCTGCCTCCAACTTTCTTGTACTTCATCATAGTGAATAACTATGGTGGATATTTTAATTCTAGAAATATGTCTACTCTTTAAGTAATTACTGTTCTTCTCCATTGAGATCTTTCTTTTACCAGGTATACGAAAAGGCCTTGCTCTCTTATCCTGGTTTTCTGTTTAACCACCATTTGGAACTACAACTGACAAGGTTCATGGCAGTCCAGGTATATTTTCAGAACCTGCCCTTTGCTGAAAGTCAGTTCTTTTCTATGTACCTATATATCATGTAAGAAATTTATAGAAGAGACCTGTTCTTTTAAATACAATATATGGGGCTTGAGTATGATTTAGTGAAGCATAAACTATGTTGAATCTTGTTATAGACAAACATACATTATTTGTACTTGTAGTTCCAGGAAAAGCTGATTTCTTGGAAGAAAGTTCTCTACATACAATTTTGAAGTTTGATGTAACAAAAGAGGAACAAGAAGAAAAGTGTGATGGAGCATCAGAGAAAAATGAGGTAATTAAACTTTTTACAGTTGTGTTATTAAAGATAATTTGTAGTTGTAATTGTGTCTTTCTGGACTTTGTTTGTTTGGCATCTAATTAATAATGACATGTTTGTAGTCTCAAACTGAAAAAATTCACTACAAGTTTGCTGAATTGTTGTGAATAAACTCATTGGAGCTGTTTTAACAGCAGTAATATTTCTGGTCCAGAAGAATGTAAAAATGTTTTATGAAGAGAAACATTCAGTACCCAGTGAAAATCCTGGATTTTGTTTTACATAATAATGTTTTCAGTTTTGTTGAACAAATGTACCTTCATTATCAAGGATTATCCATGGGTAATAGGGTGGCTGTATTCTCTGCTATAGTTTTCATACGTACCATTGAGACTAAAGCAACCTGAGACTGGATACTTAGTAGAGAACAGTCTCTTGTCATCTGGTTGTATTTTATTGAAGATTTTTATGGTATTTGCAATGATGGTGTGAACAGCCTAATTCTATTTCATCAGTTCCTAAGCCATGTTCACAATGATATCAAGTTTATATTTTAATATGCTCTACCTGGTGAGATGTACAAGTTATAGACACTTCTACAACTGTATTGAACTGTAAGATGGTCAGTAACGATTACAAAAGTCTCTCAACTGCTATTTCTACATTTTCTCTGTCATTACCCATGGACCATGAAGAGGGTTACGACTTTTAACCAGTTAACAAGCCCTTCACATATTTGTGAAAACCATAGTGATCTAAGTGTATTATCCCTATAGTTAATAATATAATTAACAAAGCTGTGAGGGAATTGGGTGTACCTATACATCTGATAGAAGAGACTTGACATTTGCTTAAATCTCATTTAATGTGCTCAGCACAGTGAATTCAGTGTTTAATCAAACATTGTTATATATTGTGAATGTGTAGAATTCAGTGTTTAATCAAACATTGTTATATGATATGTATGTGTATAATTCAGTGTTTAATCAAACAGTTATATGATATTAATTTGTAGAATTTTGTGTCAAATCAACCATTCTCGTTCCAGGTAATATTTCTAAAACAGTTTTGAAGGATGTTAAGTATTTAATATCTGAGCCACTTTCTACTGTTTGTGTAAGCCTTTGAATAGTGGACAGGTGCCAGAAGATTGAAATTTAGTTAATGTTACTTAAGCCTGTGACTTGAGTGAAATATTCGATCCATTCAGGTGTGCCAAAGTTTGGCCAATATCAGGATCAGATTTTGACAACCTGCATTTTGTGTTCTGCACGTTTAAATGTCCCTACTGTATATATACTAGTGGTGTGTATCGCTGATATGCATAGGATTGTGGCTGTGTGTGTGTGTGTGTGTGTGTGTGTGTAGATGCACCTGCTCTCACAAGTGTTTTGAAATGTGTTTTCCCCAACATTTTTTTAGGGGAGGGAAGTGTATACCTGATGAACCTTTCTTAACTTTGAAAATATAAATTTAGGAATTCTTTTGACATTGATACAGCAGCACATTCTCTGAACATGAAGAACCATAAAATATAACAAACACTGGTCAGTTAGAAAGTTTCTTAATGTTTCATTTTATAGAAACAAATACTGTTCTCCCCATTCATTTTGAGGCAAACTTAATCTTAAAAATGTTTTGATGTTTTGTTGTTATTTTATCACATTAAAACTTTCACAGAATAAGTAGAAATAACAAAACACAAACCAAACATTAATCTATAAACTTCAAATTAATCCTGTCTAATATGGTTCAATAACTCTTAAAAGATCAAGAATTCAACCAATTTTTTTACCCTCTTGCTACAGGTAGGTCAAAGTGCACATCACAGCTTTTTAGATTTGAAACTTGGCATCAAAACAAAGTTAATGAATCAAATTGTAAAATTATGTAACATTTAAGTTCTTAATTTTATAAGTAAATATTTTTAAAAAATTAGGTTAGATTAAATATGATAATGAATAATAATAACAATAATTCTTCATGCTCGTATTCAATACAATAATGTAAGCTCCACATTTGCCAAGTGATTTACAACTAGTGGAGGATTATTTATTTGACATGGGTGAAAAAACAATAAAATTAGGTACAAATATATATGTACTGTTAGGAATTTTTAGATAAACAAATTGTAGTTTCATGTAACAATTTGTAGCCACTATAGAAAGAAAAAATTGTAATTTTTTTAAGGTGGTTACAAGGTTGCTCAAATCGATAGATTGTGTATAGAGTTAGTGTAAATAAAATAATGGATAAAATAGTTTTTACCAAGAAAAACGTTTTATATTTATTTAGGATATTTTAGAGATTACTCAAATGAAATTCGACAATTGTCAAATGAACACATTTTTATCTTAAAAATAAAATCACTTTGAATTTCGAGTAGTCAATACTCTGACTCCATATATTTATGGACAAATTTTCAGTAGAAATACTTAATTAAAATATCTGATTTTTTGTGCACAAAAGGCTAGTAATGTTTACTGAATTTCATAAAGATACTAAACATATCAAAAGTTACAGAATAGAAACTCTTATGTTCACTTTAGGGCTAGAAGGTCACTTTCACATCCATGTCTGTGTCATAAAAGTTGAGCCAGTGTCAATGAACTTAAGTTTTAAGTGATGTATATACTTACCAGATGTTCTTTCTAACTCAGATTCAGTTTCTGTTTTCACATTCATAACATTATAGTGTGAACTATTCTGATCCTCATCATCACTGTAACTGAACTTTGAAATAACATCATCTTGTAGCAGATCACCAAGGTGTTCCATTTTCACTTGATCAGATATGTTCTAAAATCAAACAATGGTTGAAAGGGTTAACAGAAATAACAACTACTGTTATCATTACATATAAATTCCACAGTTCACTAATTTAAAACATGAATATATAATTACTAAACCTAACATTATAAACTTGGTTATGTATGTATGTCTTAATACTGTGTAAATACAAAATATTTTACATCTGATTCTAAAAGCAAACAAAACAATGCCATACAACACATTAAAACAAGAAAATATTCTGAAGGAAACACCCAATAAACACTTTCTTATTTAAACAGGGGTTATAATTCTCACAGGACAGGACACATGACAGAATGTATAGACCACTGTAATCACTGTTTCATCACAAAGAGACACTGTAATGGGTTACCACGACTAAAGACACTGAGTGTAAGATTCAGATTTGAGTACAGAATTACATTTGGTTCTTTCTGTACAAAGTATGGAAATGGCCAGGTCTGTTATACAGATATAGCATCAAAGTAGTCTCACAAAACAACCCATCTCAATGGTGTGTAAACATTCCCTAGAAGAAACACTGCACATTTGGTAGGATCTGATGACATAATGAATGTAATGCTCAGTTCCACGTGTTACTTGAGTGACAGGTTTGGGTTTATTTTTATTATTTGAAGATGTACATAAAAGATCAGCACACACACACAGTATTTGCCTTTAAAGAGTCAGGAACATTCAAAATGTAAAAGTTAGTGACGTAGTTGGAAATGAAAGTCAAGAGTGGATAAACCAGATAGAGATGAAAAGTAGAGGCACAGATATATAAGCAACTGGAGGTTAATGTTTTAGGTGTAGGCCATTTGGTCTTAGCTGAACAAGACACCTACCTTGGTAAATTTTGTCTCTTAGTCTTACCATTCTTGTCATTCGTGAAATAAATATTATGCATGAAGGCTTTCAATTCCCTTAACAATCTTAAAAACTTTAAATAAAATTAATCAAACGAGACATCAATGTTTTATAAGTTAAAAAACCTTAAAAACTATATATGTTTCAGTGGAAATAATTCCACCATCTTCAGGAGAATAAACCACAAAGTCTGTTTTACGTATTGAATCTTAAAAACCTCAATCAGATCTCCATATCTAATTTTGTCTTTAAACCTACTGAGACATGTCTTCCTATAATCACAGGTCAAAGGCCATGTCATCACGTTTGTTGACTTGCATTCAAAATTTTATTGAACTACTATTTATGAATGTAAGTTTGGCATCAAATTGTAGATTATAATTCAATTTTAATTATTATACATTAGTTAATTTCTTAACATAAATGTAAATATTTAAAAAGAAATCCTAAATATCGATTTTTGTGTGTCACGTGGTTTGTTAACTGCAGCATTGGTTCAGATTAAATGTTTATGATGTTCAAATAGAAAAATCTATTATTTCTTACAAATTACCAATACTGATATAAAATAATAACCTTCTATATTTTCTATTTCTTGAGATATCGATATATTTAGTGAATCAAACATAGTAGCCCCGCCCACTTCTTTTTTTGTAAATGCTTACATACACCTACTTCTGTCTATGATGTGTGACTAACCAATCAAAAGCTTAGAATGTCCCCAATATGGATCTCTCAGCCTCTGCAAAGTATTTATGTGAGAAACCCTTTCTTTTCATGGTAGATTCCAAGCGGTAATGTAAGACATTTTTGAGATTGAAAAATCATGTCTTTTTACAACCAAATACAGCTTAGTTTCTAAGACTGATAATTTATGGTGGAATTCTGTGGTATTTATACAGTAATTTATAATTTTTTGGTTATTTCAGATGTATATACAAAACCAAAAAATAATTTGTTTCATTTCACATCATCAACATGCAAAATTTGACTAGTCTTAACAACATACGGCAAGCAGCAAACGAGTACAAAGTTCACAATTAGAAGAGATAATTGTTTGCTTTACTTTTTTTATTTACTGTCATATGTTTTAAGAAATGTAACTGGAATTTAAACATTTTACTGTAAATAGTTAATAATCTATATACATATATGATATATTATAACCAAAATGTGACTATTTTACAAAATACTGGTCCACTAGAACACAGCCAAGACAGGTAAGTTTGTGAAGGCTAGTCTTATATTACTGGATATGGTTACATGAGTGCATGAGTGCCTTGTCATTCAACTTCTGTAACGTTTGTCAGACCTGTTGAAAGGTCAACAAAATAAAAATAATAAATATATATAAATGTTATGATATTTAAGCTGTTAGACTAAACATTTGTGGTTTTGTGTTATAATTTGTAGTAATTCCAGAACAAAAAAGCATAATTCATATCTATTTTCTATTTTTTTATGGTTATGAGGTCATAAGAACCAACCAAACCAACATATAAAATAGTTTTTGATAATTATCAGGAGGAGATTATGAGGTTATGGAAATTTCGCATGTGAAATTTGACAATTTTCTGATGCATAAAAGTATTTTTAATCTGAAAATAGAAATTACTTTGCATTTTGAATAGTCAATATTCAAAAATTAAAAATGCACAAACAAATAATTAATTAAAAAATGTTAAAATTTAATTAAGAAATCTGATACTTTGTGTATTAAAGCCTTGTAATGTTTACTGATAATCTACAAAAATTCATGAAAATGCTTGTACATTTTAAAAAGTTACAGTATAACTGTTTATGGTTACTTTTGGGAATATGGGCTGGTTGGAATCCACCCACCAGTATTAGAAGGGTTATCAAAAACTTTTGACCTAAGAAATCATCTCAGTGGACTTCTAGTGAAATTTTACTAATAATTAACTTTGAACCCTCCTTCATATTATTTCAAATACTGCAGTGTCGTTTTTGAGCTAAGAAGCCCAAGACTGAACACAATACTCCAGATGTGACTTATACAATGGAATAATAAAATCTTTAGAGTTGTACTTAATATTTCTGAAGACACAACTTAAAGTACTATGTGCCTGCCACTAGCAGCAGCACATCACTTAATAGACTGAACAACTATTACATCAAGATCCTATTCTTCTATACTATTGTTAAGGTTATTTTCATCTCAATTATATTCAAAATTCATTACCCAGCATTTATTATAACTACAACCATATGCTTTTATTTGCCATACAAATCATCCTTTTGTAAAACAGTATCATCTTTTTCAGTCTGAAACACCCAAAACCTTAGCATCTTCAGCTAATTGAAGACATTTATTGACTATTCCTTCATCTATATCACTGATGTATCCTAACACTGAGCCCGAGATACCCCACTTGTGACATTAATCTAGATTGACTGAACCTCATTTATAAAAACCCTTTGCTTTTTTCAACCAAACATTATTTTATACAATGGGTCAACTTACTTCCCTTACCTACAGAGGTCATTTTTTAAACAAATGCTTTCTCCAAATCTAGATACAACAAATCCACACCAGTAACCTTATGTACATAAACAGTAACTTTTTCAATGAAAGTCAAAAGATTGGTAAAGCAAAATTTGCCCTAGTGACAGCATGTTGACTATCCAACAATATTAAATAACTATTCAAAGCATCATTTATAAAATAAAATCTTTTCTCACCACTAACAGAAGTAAAATTAATAGGCCTAAATTTAATGGGACAATTTTTATCATCACCCACGAAAAGAGGAGTAACATTAAGCCTTTGACAAAGTCTGTATTGACTGCCAATACCAATCTGATCTAAAGAATTCCCCAGTGCTCTTCTGATCTGATTTTTAAGAAGATCAGATTGCTAACTTTGTATACCTATGAAAATATGCAACAGATTCAGGCTCCATGAAGAGAGCTCAACGTTAGATCAATCACAGAGAAATATTGGTGATCAGGTGATGTTCAGATAGATATTAACTGCTTTTAATGTTTTTTACAAAAAGTTAGAATAATTATCAGCTCTCTCATTCAAACAACACTCCTGATCTAGAGTTAGTCAGTCCACATAATGTGCATGCACTCAATAGTTTAATCTATTAATTAAAATAATGATAGAGTCTGAAATTAAACTTTAAAGACTTTAGTATTTGCTACAGTGTTTAATAATGTTACAGGTAAATCCCATTAAACACATGATTTTCATTTACTTTGTTCCCAATAGACTACAGTATGAACTTTTCTAATCCAGTGGGATTTATTTATATACATGTGATTATCCTGAACATTACCGGCCTTATAGAATCTTAAGAATTGAATAATCCCAAATCTCCAATCTCTTAATTTAACATGTTGAAGTCAGTAATCAAACAACTTCTAATCACAGGAATGATACATAAACTTGATAAATAATATATAGATAAATATTTTGGTTTAGTCTAAATCTTGGCATTTATAAATATTTATTAACACATATAGAGCTTTTGAGCAGTAACTATAAAGTATTGATGTTAATTAACATGTTAAAGTAGACAACTGATTTGAAGATTTCATGATAATCAATCCCTCTAAGTTCGAAAATAAAATATCTAACACTTAATTCAGATAAGTACTGGCTGAAAGTAACATTGGTTGATATGACTCTGTACTATCATATTTGTACAGATGATTTTAGACTTTATCTATTGAAACCATTTCATTAACATTACCAACGGTTTGTTTTATATGCTATTCTGATCTAGATAAAAAAGTTGTTATAAAGTGTTAACTTAGTTTTATATTTAATATTATTATATTGATATTTTTGTTGATTATATCAGAACATTAAAATATGTTTATATGTTCTTGAAATAAACTATTATATTATATATTTATTATTAATTAATTTGTGACATCATTTATATCTGTTTTAGATACAAAGACCAGTGTGAACATCTGTTGTGGAAGTCAGTTTACTGGTTATGTTATAAAACAAGAAGATCACTTTACAGAAGACGTAAAAT